GGAGTCCCACATAACCCTGGCCCAAGTTCCCCCAAGAGCCAGGGTATCCGTAACGGATTTCCACCATGTAAAAAAAAAAAAAAAAAAAAAAGGGTTTCTATAGTTTTCGGTTTGGGGGTCGGGGAGACAGCCCCGGCCTACCAAGGGCAGAGCTGACTGCCACCGAGCGCGTCCCCGAGTTGCGGATATGGGAACGGCCTCAAGTACTGAGGTTAGCTGCGAATAACCCTTTCGGGGGGAATAAGCAGTCGCGGACAAACAGCGGTGGATACTGAGGGTGGGGTGGTCACTCCTGTGGGAAGGGAGCGGCCTATAAAGTGCTCCATTAAACCTGATGAAGTATCCACGTCAAAGGCGAGTGAGTGCCGCCTTAAAAGCACTTCAACCCCCGGGCAGATCGGGCTCGTTAGGTTTTGTTTACCAACCGATCTAGGTGAAGGAAAACACCGATGTTAAACCAAATAAGTAGAAAAAAATATATGATAGACAGCAAAACGAAGAAGGACTTACCGCCCCAGAGTGATCGGACACTCAGGGGCCGGCACGGTGGGAGTACTGTCCCTGCTCCCCCCGCGTCGTTATCCAGCGAAGGGCAGAAGGAGGGGTTGACGGCGGGCCCCTCTGAACAATCTGCTACCGCCGTAGCTGAGAAGAAACAAGAGAAGAGGAAGGCCGACAAAAGTCTTGAGTCGGCTCTTCAAGAGGGTACGGGGGCGGCCGATTGCTCCCACCTTACGATGGGCATCGGCGCCCTCTTTGATCATGTGGCTGACTCCCTGGACGATCTTTGGGAGCGACTTTGTCGTCGCTCCAAAATGTCCAGGGAGGAGAAAGCGGGCAGGCCGAGAGAGCTCCGGGAAAGGATCCTTGCGGGTTTGATAGAGCTTCGATCTCGGTACAGCCTCCGAGAGGCTTTCGACAAGGTCAAAAATAGTGTCGCCAACGCGGCCGCACGTATAGAGGAGAAGGTTGCTCGAGGGCAAGTTGCCTTCGAGCGAAATATTATGGAGGCAATTGTTCAGGTCAGCGATGATATTGAAGAACATAGTTGCTGTAACCTCGCTGACCTGAAAGAAATCAGGAAGGATTTGGTGGAGGCGCGTGCGGCGATCGAGGGGGTCCATAATAAGACTTCCCGGTCGCTTCTCGCGCTTCATGAGAGTATGGAGACGTCGGTGCGTGCCATCGCCGACGTCTCCATGCCGAGGCCGGAAGGAGCTACATGCTCCACTCCGGTCAGGAGAAGGAGTCAGATTCCCCCCTCCTGGCTGGAGGAGATTGAGAGGGTGGTGCGGTGCACCGTCTCGGGGGAGCTCCAAAAACTCTTGGAGCGGGGGCTCCCGAAACGGCCCCCCCTGTTAGTAGGAAATCTCCGATTCTCCCGCCTGTTCCTGTTAGGGCACAGGCGGAGGAAAAGGAGCCGACAAAGAAGAGAAAGAAAAAGAAGAAGAAGAAGAAGGAGAAGAAGCAGGTGGTAAAGGCCACTAAGGCGCCTACGAAGGGTGGGGGGACGGCCGTTGGTGCCGGTCGAGGGAAGTCTTCCCCTCCTTTGATCCCATTCTCGTCAAGCAAGCGGCCGCCTTGCGGAGTACTCCCGCGTACTGAGGCGGTCACCTTGCGTCTCGAGGGTGAAGGCATGTCGTATGCCCAAGTCCTTCGAGACGCGAAGAATAAGGTGGACCCTAGGTCGGCGGGCGTCTCCAGAGTCCGTCGGACCCTGGAGGGGCACTTGTTGTTGGAGGTGGGAGGGGAGGACCGCAAATCCAAGGCGGATCTTCTTGCCACCAAGTTGAAAGAGGTTCTCTCCGAAGGAGTCAGTGTGGCTCGTCCATCCCAAAACGTGGAGATATTAGTTTCGGGATTGGACGAGTTCACCACAGAAAACGACCTTCGCAAAGAGTTTGTGGCAGAGTTTGGTGGCGGGAGTGGCGTTAGGGTAGTATCCCTGCGTCGCTCCCAGCCCGTGGGTGGAGTCGGCTTAGTTCGCTGCCCAGTGACGGCAGCCAAGGCAATTAAAGCAGGCAGATTGCCGGTGGGCTGGGTGATGGCGAGGGTGCGAGCACTCCGCCCCCGCCCCCTGCAGTGTTACAGGTGTTTCCAGCCTGGGCACTGCAGGGCTGTGTGCCCCAGCCAGGTCGACCGCAGTGATCTTTGTTATCGCTGTGGTCGGCCGAAGCAACGAGCGGCCGGCTGTATAGAGGATGAGAGATGTCCCCTCTATGAGGAGTCGGGCCGGGAGTCCTCCCACCGAATGGGCGGGGCCCGGTGCTCGGCCAGCGGCCGGGGGGCTCCCGTGCCCGTTAGCAAACCCTGATGAAGGTAGGGAGGATGCGGTTTTCCTTGGCTCCGATATATGGATCCGGGGAGCCGCTCCTCCGTATATCTGGTGCGTTAAGCACTAGATATAGTAGGTGGTGCCTGGTTCTCCTTTAAGAGACCAAGCAATATTAAGAGAAAGCCCGGTCCCCGTTGTTTTGAGCACTAGTTGGCCTCAACTCAGCGGTGGCTGGGCGCATTGTGGGGGGAAGACCTCTTTCTTGTCTCGCGTTTTGAGACAATTAGGAGGTCAATACTACTATTATGGGGTCAAGTCCGCTTCGGCGTTTGACTTGAGGCCGAGAAGGGTTTCCCCCTCATTGCACTCGGCCCGCAGACGGCGGGGGAGGGTCTGTGTTCCCCCTCCCCCGATCGTGGAGGAGCAAAGCTCTTCTATTTAAGGATTGGGGGGCAAAAGTCCCCATGCCTATCGGGCTGCCTCTGGGTTGTTCTAAACTGAGGTACCGGGGCAGCCCTAAAAAGGCGGAAGGTGGACACCGCAGGGGTTTTAGTGGGTATTCCCCACCGGGGTGCGCTTTGGTGGGGTGAGTCTCACACAACCCTGACCCACATCAGTCTGGGTCAGGGTGTGCGTAAACGCATTTCCCTTGCGTAAATAAAAAAAAAAAAAAAAAGGTTACTATAGTCATAACGCAGTACTCGGGAAAGTTTGAACTCACTATCTCGGGAAAATTTAAACTCACCACCTTGACGTGGTCTCCGAGCTTCCGTGGGGCAAAGATTGGAAGGGCTATGCCGGCGGGAACCTCGGTTCCTGGCAGGGTCTCCCTAGCCGGTCAGGCCTTCCATGAGCCTCTAGACTAAGAGTGAGTTCACGGGCGTGCGGGCTTGTTACCCCAGTGGGGGAGCCGCACTAAGGGAAGAAAAACCCCGACAGCAAACCCGGGCAGGGCGGGCTTGTTGGCCATGGTCGGCAACCGTCCTAGGAGAGGCAACTCCGAATTAAAATCATTCTTGCAATAAATGGGATGTACACTAGCAAGGAAAAGAACGTACCGGGACAGGGGGTTCGGACCTCCAGTCCCTGGCGTGGTGGGGTTACCGTCCCGGGCCCTGCTACGTCGTCATTATACGACGGGCTTCCTGATGTATGCACTGCAAGTGTATCAGGGGATTATGCGTCTGCGAAGACAGAAACTGGAGGTCTTCCAACTTCTGTGATCTGGGCAGCAGGGAAGTGCACCCCGCGCAACGAGGGCGCCAGTCTGGAGTTTGGCTCCGCGTGCAGCCCGGACTCTGCACGAGTACTGATGCCCCCTCCTTGCCAGCCTCGCGGGCCTGCCGAGGAGGGGATCATCGGGGTGGTGAACGACGAAAATGTGGAGATGAGGCCTATGTCCTCCCGCTGTTCGTTCTCATCCACTTTGTATGGGTCCGACAACACCACCGCCACTTCTGCCGCCAGCGGATCGATCTTCAAGAAGAGGGACGGTCGGGGAAGACCGCCCACCACAGGCGCGTTTGTGGGGGTCAGTCGTGCGAGGGAAGAAATAAAGAGGAAGAGAAAGGCGGCTGAGGAAGCATCCCGTCGTAGGAGGGTGGCTTCTAAGGAGGAGCACCTCGACGAAGAGAAGGAAGGTAGGGCAGCGGACAGGTGCAAACGCGCGAAGCGCCAAACTCGCCGCGACTTCTTCAAAGAAAAGCCGGAGAGTCCTCTCTCCGTTAACAAGAAGCCAATGGAGGACCTCTCCACCCCGGAGGTGGTAGAGAGGATAACGGACGCCCTTCGGGTTGTTGGCACGGTTGCAACCAAGTCCAAAAACCTGAAGGGCGGGTACGTCAAGGCCCTGAAGGACGTGATCACTACGATCACAGCGGCTGCCGAGGAGGTCCGAGAGAGAGCCGAAAGAGACGACGAGATGTACCGGATCTCACGTCAGCTGACCCGGGCTCGCGGAGAGAACAGGAAGCTCTCTGAGGAGCTTCAGGAGCTCAAAGTCGAGCTCGCCGGGTTGAAGGCCAAGTGCGGGGCCCCCACCTCCCGGGACCTACCACCATCTCTGCAAGGGCAGGAGTCCGGCGGTCCAGCCGGCATGGTCACCCGGGAGGAGTTGACCAAAGCAATTGGAGAGGCGGTCACCAGCCTTTCCAGTAAGCTGGCGAAGGAAATAAGACGGGGGGTCGGAACGGAGGTTGCCTCTCGCTTCGACGTCCTTATGCCCGTCTCCCGTCTGCCACTTGCGACCGATAGTCGCCGCCCTTCGGAGACAACCCGGCCACCTCAGGCGGCGGGAAGGAACGAGTCTGGGAAGGGAAGCGGTAAAAACAGGACTAGTTTGCCTGCCGCCCCCTCCCAGAAAGCTAAGAAAAAAGGTGAGCCGCCTGCGAAGCAGGTAGCCGCTCAAAAGAAGGAGATTCCGGGTGCGTCCGTCGCCCGACCCACTACTACTTCTTCTTCCCCAACAGAAACCTGGACACAGGTCGTGGGGAAAAAGAAGAAAAAGGAGAAACAGGGAGTGGGAGCGGGTAAAGATCCCCTCACCAGACCCCCGACATCCTCTCAAGCTAGCCAGCATTGGCAGCCGCAGCAGCAGAAGCAGTGAGGGAGGGGGAGAGGGAGTAAGAACCAAACCTCCCCCAAAAAAAGAGCAGGCCGCGTGCCGAAGACGGCGGCCGTTACGGTCAGCGTGCCCGAGGGGGGGCGCCTAAGTTTGAGCTCGGTGATGGCGAAGGCCCGTGCGGCCATTAACCTCGCCGATTACGGGATCGCCGGGCTCAGACCAAAGAGAGCCATAACCGGGGGTCTGATTTTGGAGGTCCCCGGCGAAAACGGAGCAGAAAGAGCGGACGCACTGGCTAAGGCCATGTCCGCCCTGTTTGCAGAGGATGAGACCAGAGTCTCCAGACCCGTCAAGACCGCGGAGGTCAGGATAAAGGGTCTGGAGGACTCTGTGTCCCCGGAGGAGATGACCGCGGCCCTGGCAATAGCCGGGGGATGCACCCAGAGAGAGGTCAAGGTGGGCCCTGTCAAGCTGGCCCCCTCTGGCCTCGGGGCCGTGTGGGCGAGGTGCCCAGTGTCGGCTGTCCGCAGGCTGGCCGATCTGGGCAAAATCACGGTCGGGTGAGTAAGGGCTGTGGTCGATGTACTGGAGCACCGCCCGCTCCAGTGCTTCAAGTGCCTCCGACGGGGTCACGTTTGGCAGAAATGCCCGTTCCCCGCGGAGAATAAGAGCGGGCGGTGTTATCGGTGCGGGGAGGCGAGTCACAGAGCGGTCCTGTGCGCGGCGGACCCAAAGTGTCCGCTGTGCTCGGACTTAGGCCGCTCTGCTGGCCATCGCTGAGGCAGCCAAGCCTGTGCCCCTGCCCTTCGGAAGGGCAAGGGAAGGGCAAAAGCCCAGGAAGAGGGGGCGCCGGTGCTTCCCCCCCCCCTACAACCACGGAGATGTCAGTGAAACCATCGGGACTCGCTACGAAGGGGTTAGTCGAGCCCTGGAGGAATGGATGGCGGTCTGCGGGCTCCATCTATTAAATCGGGGCTCGCAGCACACGTGCCTGCGGCAGCACGGGGGATCGATTGTTGACCTGTCGCTGGCTTCCCCGACTGCTGTGCCGCGTGTGTCCGGGTGGCAGGTCAGGACGGACGTAGAAACGCTTTCGGACCATCGGTACATTACCATGGTGGTCTCCACGTCTGGTCCGGGCGCCCGGAGCCGTCAAGGGAGGGTGAACACCCCACCACCGCAGGGCTGGGTCCGAAAGGAATTGGACCCAGATGCCTTGGTTGCTGCAGCCCACGTGGCGGCGTGGCCGTCTCCACCGGTCACGCCGTGTGGCCCTTGGGAGGAGGTGGAGTGGCTCCGGGAGGTCATGGTCAATGTCTGCGACACGGCCATGCCCCGCTCCCGGGGCTTTCCTCCAAAAAGGGCGGTGTACTGATAGTCGGTGGAGATCGCCCGACTCCGTACGGAGTGTGTTCGGGCAAGACTCCAGTATACCCATGCTCGTCGCAGACCATCCAGCAACGAGGCCACATGGGCAAGAGAGTATGAGGGCTATCGTAACGCGAAAAAGGCCCTCGCGGCGGCCATAAGAAAGGCCAAGTCTCAGGCCTGGGAGGAACTCCTCGGAACTCTGAACAGAGATCCGTGGGGGCACCCGTACAAGGTTGTCATGAAACAACTGCGACCTTGGGCGCCCCCGTTAACGGAGAGTCTTGACCCCTAACTCTTGGGACGGGCGGTTGATACCCTCTTTCCTCGTGGAGGGGGGGCTTGGCCCGCCCCGGGGGGCCTACCGGACCATGTAGAGTGGTCCGATGAACTGGGGGTCACCGAGGAGGAGATGACCAGGGCCATCCGGAAAATGAGCGAAAAGAACACCGCCACAGGTCCGGATGGAATCCCTGGTCGGGTCTGGGTCTTGGCCTTAGGCCCCCTGCGTAACCGCCCCAGACAGCTTCTTACTAGCTGTCTGAGAGCGGGGTGGTTTTCCCCGGCGTGGAAGCGCGCGAAGTTGGTCCTTCTTCGGAAAGACGGGCGACCGGCGGACTCACCATCCGCCTACCGGCCTATATGTCTCCTCGATGAGATGGGCAAGCTGTTCGAGCGAGTGCTCGCGGCCCGCCTCACGAGCCATTTGTCAAGAGTGGGCCCTAATCTGGCTAATAGCCAGTATGGGTTCCGAGAAGGACGGTCCACTGTGGATGCTATCCGCCATGTGGAGTCCCTCTCGGAGGACATAACCTCCCGGGGAGGGAAGTTGATCGCTGTGTCATTAGATATAAAGAACGCGTTCAACTTCCTCCCCTGGGATAGTATAGAGCGCGCACTCACCTACCATCGGGTGCCGCCTTATCTAGGGAGAACGATCGGGAATTATTTCCGAAGCAGATGGGTTGAGTACGTTGACCGGTACGGAGAACCGTGTCTCAAGGAAATATACCGCGGGGTCCCGCAGGGGTCGGTGTTGGAGCCGCTCTTGTGGGACCTTGGGTATGACGCGGTGATCCGGGCCGCTTTCCCCGAAGAGATCAGCGTTGTCTGTTACGCGGACGACACGCTGATCCTAGCCTCTGGGGACACTTGGAGAGACGCGCGCATCCACGCTGAGGTGGGCGCAGAATGTGTCGTCAGCCGGATTGAGAGGCTGGGCCTATCGGTGGCCGCTCAGAAAACCGAGGCCATGTGGTTTCATGGCCCCCGGGGGCGGCCACCAAGGACCAGCCTAAGGATAGGTGACGTCAGAATCGAGGTGGGAGGTACACTTAAGTACCTGGGTCTCCACCTCGACAGCCGTTGACGCTTTGAGAGCCACTTTGAGCGCCTCGCCCCCAGGGTAAAAAGGGTGGCGGCCGCGTTGGGCCGCCTCTTACCCAACCTGGGGGATCCAGACGAGAGGATCCACCGCCTCTATGTTGGGGTGGTTCACTCAGTAGCCCTTTATGGGTCACCGATCTGGGCGAGGGTTGCATGAGCCACAGGGCGCGGAAACTTTCACCAACTCCGCGCTGCGCAGCGGGTCATCGCGCTGCGTGTGGCTCGTGCATACCGAACCATCTCGTATGAGGCGGCAGGACTGCTAGCGGGGGTAACCCCGCTGGACCTCATTGCGCGGATGCACGCGGAGATCTATGAGCTCCACGTCGAGTTGCGCGAGAGGTTAGACGGCCCTCGTCTAGACGAGGCAGTGGCTCTCGCAGGGCGCCAAATCCGGCAGCGCGTGCTCCAGAAATGGAGCAAACGGCTTAGTCAGCCCCAAGTGGCTGACAAACGTGTTGTCGGGGCTGTCCGGCCATGCATGATGCAGTGGCTGGACAGACGGCATGGTAAGGTCACCTATCGTTTGACACAGATGCTCTCGGGGCACGGGTGCTTCGAGGAGTACCTGCATCGAATAGGGAAGAGGCCGACGGCACAATGCCGCGCGTGCGACGCGGCTTCCGACTCGGCGCAGCACACGCTGGAAGAGTGTCCAGCGTGGGCGGAGGAGCGCCGGGTCTTAGTCGCGTCGATCGGAGAAGACCTCTCCCTCCCGGCCGTTGTGCGGGTGATGGTCGGGGGGAAGGAGAACTGGAAAGCGGTGGCCTTCTTCTGCGAGCAAGTAATGCTGCAGAAGGAGGCTGACGAAAGAGAGTGGGAGCGAGCTCCAGGCAAACGGGAGCGAGCTCCCAGAGGAAGAAGAGGAAGACGAGGAGGGAGACATGCGGGCGGCGTTAGGCGTCGTGCAGTGGGGGACGGAGGTTCGCCTTCCCCTTCTCGTGCGCGAGGCCGCTGTCCGCCCCGCTCCCTCTGGCAAAGAGTAGCATCCGAATGACACTAGGCCCCGGGGAGGTCCCCCTCTTCCCGGGGCCTGGGTGGTCAAGTCAGCCGGGACGGTGTTACGCTAATAGAGGCCGAACGGGGGCCCTGCTGGTTGGACACCGCCCGGACAATTCGGATCCAGTAGTGGGTGATGGCCGGGGGGAAGAACCGTCTTCCTCCCGGATAGGTTGCGTCACCTAGAGGCCGTGACGGGGCGGAGTGAGGACTCCGTTCCGTTCTGCACGCGGCCTCCTAGATGGGCGGTGAGGGAGAGGAATGTGTGTTCTTCCTCCCTCCCGCCGCAGTTAGGGTACAGGAGGGAACCTTCGGAGTTCTCTCCCGGGAAGTTCCAGTCACAGCGCGGGAGGGACCTGAGATGAGTCCGTCAAGGGGTACCGGGTCCCTCCCCTCTAACGCGCTGGGAAGGCACACCGTGGGGGTTTTAGCGGGTATAACCTCCCTACCCTTCGGGGCGGGAGGGTGAGTCCCGCATAACCCCGATCCCTCCCCAGGGTCGGGGTATCCATAAAGGATTTCCCCCACGCAAAAAAAAAACAAAAGTCATAACGCAGTAAGAATAAACTTACTTGAGTGATCCGAGTCGGATGCTGATTCTGTAAATGATACATCGTTCGAATGAATCATACTTTTTGTTATGAAATTTTTTAAAACAGTTTGTGCTTTAGAACATGCTAGTATATCTTTAAAATGCAGTTTTTTAAAGCGGGGATCTAAAAGTGTTGACAACGCTAAAATCTGTACATGTTCTATGTGATCAAAACGTGTTTTAATCTCGTATAACATATCTTCTTTTAGTTGAATTCCTTCTACATGTTTAGGACATAATTTGTTTATTTTACTCTGCAAACAGCGAACCATAGGAATTATTATGCTACTTGTAACATATTTTTCAACACATATTTGTTTTGTCACTGCTTTTAAAGGTTTCAATAAATCGCATATTTCTGTTAATATTTCAATTTCTTTAGCAGTAATCATAGGTGGTGCTTCCACATGACAATTCACGATATCATTTACTATTCGACGAAGTTTGAAAAATTTTTCAACCATATACTAGAGTTCCATTTTGTAGGGATTTCTTGAATAAGTTTTGTTTCGTTGGTAGTAGCTTTTCTAAGTTCATCACTAGCTACTACAGATTGTTTGACCTAACCTAACCACGTCACTATCGTTTTTACTTTAACAATTAACTCGTTTATACTTTCATTTTTTTTCAAAGCTTTTGTAGAAACTAAATTTATCATGTGAGCAAAGCAAGGAATATGTTTTTTTGCACCAAATGCGATAGTCACAGGTTTTATCATGTTTGCTGCACTGTCAGTTACAACTGCAGTAACTTGATCCTTTTGAATATTCCATTCGGAACAGGTTTCTAGGAGTTTATCTGCAATATACTCCCCAGTGTGTCTTTCCTTTAAATCATAAACTCCTAACGTAGCAGAATAGAGCTCGCTTCCAACGCCAAAATGAACCGTAACACCAAGAAAACTTCGTGTTTGCATTGTATCTGTCCAAATATCGGTTGTTAATGTACAACTCATCATTGATTTTAATTTTTCCTTAAACAGAGCTGATAGAATGTCAAATTTACTTTTAATTTTGCGTTTTATTGTAAATTGAAATGGAATCTCGTAATAAGGAGCAGCAGTTGTAATTACTTTTTTAAATCCTATATTTTTAATAATAGAGAAAGGTTGACAGTCTTTAACAATCATAAATAATATTGCATTTAATTGTTTACGACTCTTTTCTCCTCCTTCTTTATAAGCACATATATTCTGAAATGATTCTTTTACTGTTTTTTGAACTTTGACTTCTTCACACACATTAGTAGTGATTGAATTAGGGGAACTAAAAGTCGCGCGCGCGCGCGCGCGAAATCGAGGATAATAGTTCATCATTCTGCTCTTTTATAGCTAATGTAGTAATTCGTGCTTTTTTTCTTTTAGACTCCGAACTTTCACTGATTTCATACATCTTTTCGGAAAGATGTATAAAATTATTGCGATGCGAATACCTATATTTCGTATTATCGGTCACACTAGTCACACTACCAATATAAATATACCAATATAAATATTTACAGATCGTAACCTTCAGTAATCTTGTTCGATTATTACCAGAGAGAAGCCTGAGAGTGGCCAGGCCCATAAGAGTTTTTACGATCGCTATTCCGGCCCGTAAGCTAGCGCATTTCCATGGGTGGTGCACATTGGCAACTACGTAGCGATGTCCACGAGCGACTTGTCGATACGTACGCTATGTCCAAACGTGGACATGGTTCTATTCCGTGCTATGGAAATAGAACAAACGTACTTATTTAATTTTATAATATTCTAGAAATGAAAAATATAGTTTTAGTTTTTGATATCTGACATAACATTGATAGCATTTGTCTAAAATTTAAACGTTCGTTCGTGTTGTTCGTTGTATTACTCCGATAAACAGGGTGACATTGACTTGTGGTGGAGAAAAAGATATATAATAACACAGCCACACAAAAAAAAAAAATTTCTTTGGCCTGGGGATCAGACCATGTTTATTATATGTTTTTGGGGTCGCTGAATCCGAATCC